GTGGGCAAACACGGCAGCCAATTGCGCACAGCAATGTCCCACAAACAGTCGTAGATTGAAAATGACCAATTTATTATTGTTTTTGGTTTTGGAGGGATTATTATTAGGCTCTATGTGGAGTAAGGAAACTTGCCCAAGGTTTCGCCCTCTGCCTGGAATTGAACTCAGCTCTCTCACTTGCAAAGCGAGTGCTCTAACCACTGAGCTACAGGACTCCACTGTAATAGGATCAGGTATTTGCCTCATTCAGAATTGGGGAAAATCAGAGGTAAGAGGTCAGTAGAGGCCTCCCTTGAATTGGCCTTGGAAGGAGCATGAGAACAGTTTTCTTCTTCTACAGTTAGCACCAATTCTGCATTGTTTTTGTATTGATTAATGCCAGAGACGTTGCCTTTAAAAGGCACTGATTCAATTCGAAAGCTCTCTCCATTGGAACGTACTTAATCTTTTTAATGTTGTTAAAGATCTGGTTGCACGCCCAGCTCTTTAGTAACCAGCGGCAAGAGCGATTGTGGAGCGGGAAATATAAATCCTGTTTCCTGCCCAAATCTCTCTGCTGCTGGAAGCAATACTGAATCACTTGAGCAACATAAATGAGACATTAGAATCGTCTATGTGTCTTATTTGCATATCTTTACAAAGCAATGTGGGCAACTCAATAACTTTTCAAAAAAATAATTCACTGGGTATTTCACAGTTGTACTTCACAAACGAGCGTTCTAAGTCCTATCTTACCCATCCTATTGTACATCTTCAAGTCTTGGATTCTCATCAAATTTGACGGGTGACTTGCAGCAGACAATATTTATGAAACAAATAACTACTTGGTTTGTGATTTCAGCATATGAGTGGATGTGTGATTACTAACTTGGCCCTTGGTACAATTTCCGAATTATCACCACGGTAAAAAATGCACAACGATGAATTTTAGCATGAATTACACCAGCACCAAAATAGCATAAATACAATAATTGCATTTATTTAAAATGAAGCTTTTAGTTTGCAATGAATCAGCACGATTCCATGACTTCTGCGTCCTGATGTTTTGGATTGTTTTTATTTTCCCTCCCAAGACCTTTTATAAAGGGATTTTTTTCAAGAGATTCTGGTTTTATGTTTAAATATCTTGTTCATTTATTTGACAGGAAGTTCTGAAGGATGTGCTGTATACACACTAAGAGTTTAAGAAAGCTGTGTGATTTGGTTATACAAAAGACATCATAAGGTTGACAGTTTTACACCAAAAATAAGTCATTATGTTTCTTCACAGCTGCTGAAATCTGACTCAATGACAAGTTCACTGTTTTGTAAATGAAATTTATGCAAAATAATATCTGCTACATTCTTACTATAACATGCACTGTATGAATGACGTTCTAAAGGTTGACATTCAAATTTTCTTTCTATTAGTGTTTGCTTTTTATTAAAACACAAACACAGAAAGATCATACAGACATTGTCATAAGTCCTCAGTTTTTATTTAGCATCTCACAACTACCTTCATGGCCATTCTCCCTTAACTGACTCGAAACAGAATAGGTTGGTTTGGAATACAGTGCACTTGTAGTATTTCTAGCAGATTGTGTTCATTTTGAATTTGAGCACAATGCTGTGGAAACAGTTTTTTTTTCTTCTGTGAAATTAATAGCTGTAATTTTTAACCAACAATAAACTGATTTATGTAGTGCATTTCTCTCCGGGGCATCTCAAAGCGTTGGACAGTCAAGGATTTCATTATCTGTTTTCGGTTCTTGTTAAAATGCTTTCCTTTTCTGCTTGTGAGGGTGGGAAGGCCTGGGTTGCAGTTTTCCTTTGGGATTGACGACACCGGCCTGTATAGAATCATACAAGGAGGCCATTCGGCCCATCGTGTCTGTGCCAGCTCTTTGAATCGAGCTTCCAAATCAATCTCACTCCCTCGCTCTCTCCCCATAGCCCTGCAAACTTGTCCTCCCCAAATATTCTTGACAGTAGTTTTTCCTCGGTGAAGTTATGATGGTTTGACAGAATGTTTTTTTTCCCACCGATTTGGAGTTCAGTACCACATTTTAAATATCCTGAAGACTTAACAAGATTCAACCAAAATACCCACCACCACGTTGAACATCCCTTCCTGGTAACCCATTCCATTTATTAATTGCCACCTCCAGCTTTGATGCCCATCCAGCAGTGATAAGGACTTTGTGTCGTCTTCCTGGCTTGAAATGCGCTATATAAATGTATATTGTAAAAATAACAAGCCTTGCATTTGTTATTAGTGTCAAAGTGGTCTTGGCAGTGAGGTTCCTCGCTGCCAAACCCCAGTTTGTGCCGCTGTACTCACCATTTTCAAAGTGAACATGTTGTATGTTGGGTATTGACAAGATGAAAGATCATTTACATTCCAATTTTTCTTCTCAAAATAAACTTGATATTTGCAGGAACATTACACAAACAGGACACAGAAAGCAGGCTTGAATCAAGACCATTATTTGCAAATCTTGGTTGATTGATCCTCAGGAATGGAGGCTGAGCAAATAACCTCTTTTTAACAAACAGCCATAACCAAAAGAACATATGAAGCGATGATTGTTTGAAAGCTGAAAATTGGCTGATATTTAAATCCTGGCAGTAACTTTTCCTAAAATATCTCGGGTACAAAAGCAACGCTTGGCGAAGGGCACGGATTTACAATCAGGTTGAGTGATCTGAAATATTACCTGGCACTTTGGAAGGGGAATTGATTTTTCCGAAACCAAATGGTGTGGCTGCAGACTTAGTTGCACAATTTGGTTTATCTTTATGCCTGAAAAGGATGGTGGAAAAAAAACTTGCTGTCACCACTCACTGTAAATCCTTATCTTCCTCACACCGGCACGTACCATCTGGCACCGTGCACGTCGCAAGATAAAATATCAGCCCGCTAATCAAATTTTCCCAAACTACAATGGTGTTAATGTATTTTACCGCAGTCTCAGTTTTGAAGGTGTATTTGTAATTTAATATTCAGGCACACCACATTCAGATCACCTTTTTTACATTTTTGTGTATTAAGAGGGCTCTCTATCCACAGTGAAAGAGCCATTCGAAACTGTTTGTTTCATTAATATGTTCTCTATTGATTAAACTTTTCCCTACTTACCACCTGGTAAAATGCACAGAAGCATTTCATTTTAAGAAAAGAGAATAAGTCCTGCTGTTTCTCTTTAACTGATGCATAGTTGTGCCACGTACGGGTACAAAGGAGCTCTCATATTCCTTTTAAAACTAATATTTGTACATGTGCTAACAATAAAATATTGCAGCGTCTTGGGACATCCTCCCGACGTGAAAGACGCTGTACAAATGTAATTTGTTGTTGATATAATGCTATTGAAGCATTCAGGAACATATAAAATAGGTATTTTGTTATTACAAGTCGATCCATGAGAGTTTCCACAGTCGCATTATGTCCACATCGGAAAGGTGGCAAAACCCCAAATGCACATTTCTTTTTTAAAAGAAAATTACGCACCCCACGCCAGAACAAGATGCCACGAGCTTATTTGTTTCTGTATTAACCTAAAGTTTAGGCTGGAGACAAAAGCTCTTCAGCTGCAGCATGTTGTCATTTGGTATCAGTTCAGCATTAACTGCACGAGGTACTAGCTGTGAATCTTAATACTACTTTTGCTGAAGGAACTCTCTCTCTATCTCTCTCAGAGAGTTTTGTTGCTTTGAACACTGTTTCTTATTTACAGACGCTGAAATGTTGTGCCACTTGATGAACCAGGGTTTCTGCAGACCCATTGATACACAGCAGTCTTTTTGCCTGCTTTCTGGCACCGCAGTGTCACATTTGTGAGACATCTGTCCTCCTTACAGTTAGTTCCATGCACTTGCTTGCACCCTGCTCTTCCAGCAAAGAAAATAATATACACAAAGAAACCGTAAAAAAAGATGACAAAAATTAGTGAACCTTAGATATTATTTTTGGTTAAACACAGTTTAAATGCGACATAAAAGTCCGCTATGTAAGACTATCTGTGAAAACCGTGTGTGCACAGATCTTTCGGATTTACATGCTGATATTTTTAAAGCTGTATATTTTTTCCATGTTCTCGATTTGTTAACTAAACCATGATATGCAGTAGAGTATGTATTTTGCATTACAGAAATTTGCAGGAAGTATTATTTTGATTGGTACTTGAAGACATAATGTTAAATCTGAGGATTTCTGTGGGGGAGGAGGAGGTTGATGTCTTTGAAGGATTATGCAAATGTGAAAATGTCTTTGCAGAGCGGGATTACATGGAGCTATAGTGGCACATATGTATGAACTGAATATGCAAATCCTCTGAAATAATCTAATGATCCCAAACTACAAAGAATTAAAGCAAACTTTACATCTTTTTTATTAGTTGAAACATCATTGTATTATCATAGATGCAACACTCCAGTCTACACATGAAAATTAAATGTACTTTTTTTTTAGTTGCAAATAGTGTAATTTGTGGTGGAAAGAATTTTGGGGAAGGGAGATTAATTCTGGACGAGCAGTCAGATACATACTATTAATGATATTTAGATGTAATTTAATTTGTCATCCGAGTCATTACGGGTCAGTTATTACAAGAGTATTTCCCGAAAATATTATTAGTATTTCGTAATAGGATTATGTGAAAATTAAAAACTCGGTTGCAAACCCAACTGTTAAAGTAGAAGAATAATACGCCAAAGGGTGAAGACTAACTGGTGATGTGTATGCTAATTTATGGTATCTCGTTAATGTTTTTCGACGCACCAAGAGTTTCACTTTATAAGTCATCCAAGCCAATGGCAGGCACAAGACCAAAGGGTTCCACCTGCTTTTCATATTATTTTTCTAGTAGTTTTGCCGTTTTTTTGATTGCACATTAATTGTGCATTGTAGCGCAGAGTTGTTCTCTTGTGTCTTCCTAATGAAAATCCCTTGGACTGTTTCATCATTAATATAGAAACCTGTTTTAGTTGATGTGGATTCTCTCTTTGTTGTTTTGCAGCCCCCCGCTGAACAGGCCAAAGCAAGACTACAGTTGGTACTCCAGGCTGCTGGTAGGCGATGGGATTAAAGCGTCCCAATGCTTTCTATTTATTCCTAAAATATCATGCATCAAATAAGAGTGTGTGAGGTCCTCTTCCCTCACACGCATATTACATCAGCATTTTTTTCCTTAACGGCAAAGTTTACATTTCCCGCTCCTTTTTGTTATTCTTCTAATTGTAAATATAAATGTTGCTTCACCGAAAAAGAACCCTTGAATAAATATTTTCCCCTTTAAAACACAATTCGCCCCAATCATTGTTCTTTCTGAAAACCGAAAATGGACGTGAAATTTGGGATTCATTTTCATTCTTTGATTGCCCTGATTTGTTTGTATTTCTTGGCACTTTGTGGTGCTTATTCAAACTAAATTTGTAAGGAATGTGGACAAGTGCCTAATTAGAATCATACAGTAATTGTTTAGCTTGTGTATAAAAATGGTAAGTAAAAAATACAACAAAACTTCACAACTCCCTTTATCTAATCCTGCTGTTTTTTTTTAAAAAAGTTAATTTTCCATTATTTTCATGACCAGATGGTACTTTTAAAACATTTCAAAAGAGATGTAAGATTCTTCTTTTTTATTTGTTGAAATTGACAACAGATCTGCAATACAATTGAGCAATAATGTACAGTAAGGCTTCAGTGAATTGGCATTTCTGTAAGTTTAATGCTTGAGATCAGCGAGACTGTCTACCAATAGACTTCGATGAAAAGAGCTTTTTTGGGGACTTGTTAATTTTGCAGATGACATTGGTTCTGGATGGTGCCGTAGCAACTTGTATTTGCTGCATAGAGCTCAAGGTTGGAGAGTGAAGAATTTTTAAAATATGATTTCATAAAGATGAGTAATTGCGCACCAGTTGAGTTCTTTATCCACCCATTGAAAAAGCGCATCTCGTGTTGACCGATACAGATGGGTGTTGGTGTGAGTCATCTCATTTGGGAACTCTGGATCAAATGGTTCATTTGATTTATTATTTTCACTCTTAAGCACAAAAGTAAAAGTTTTAATCTTAAATTGGTTTCCTGCAAAGCACATTTTTTAGAAAAGTCCATTTAAGGTCTACTTTGCGTAATTTTATCTTGCAGAAGCAAGACAACTAAATGTATTTTCAATATTTCTTCTTTACACTATATATGGTGACATAAAGCAAATCCAACAGCTAGGGGTGTACAGTATAGATGTAGAAATGTTTTATTCAAATATTTTTAAACAAGACTTACAACATCCTATACTTTTCTCTGTTTGTAATGTATTGCTTTGTGTACCATTTTTGGTTGTCGTAACATTTAGGTTGTTTCCCAAAATGATATGTCAAGCCTTTTGGCAAATTTTTATTACATCTTATTGTTTTATTTCTTGGCTTTCCTATTTTGAGGGTATGAATTATCACCATCGGGCACAGTTTAATTCCAGGAATGTGCCAAGTAAGCATGGCACATTTCATTGAGTCAATTTGTTGATGCATTGAACAATCCATGGGAGAAGGGAGTGGTGAATTATGCATCTGCATAGTTCTGAATTACTGTGCCATCATCGTGTATTCATTCATATTTCTCAGACCACAGGAAAGCAAAATGAAAAAAACAGAGTAAGTAAATGTGTTGATTTGATCATAGTTTGTTTTTCTGCAAAATTGGAATGAAGTTTCATGCCAAATTTGCATTTTATGCTCCTGAGACTATTAACTCTAAGTATCTATATCTGTAATATTAAACTTACATTTTAACAGATCTAATTAAGATCTATCAGTTCTCTAACCATCTGCAAACAAAATGATATATTCTGTTTGTCTTAGGCTTGTGTTTTGTTATTGGACACTCACTTGAAAAGGAATTTTTTTAGCTTTGTTCTAATATAAATAAGTAGTTTATACATTGCCTCTGTAAGTAGTTTATACACTACCTCTGTTAATAATAACCTTTGTGCTTTCTCTTTGGACTTGCTAGGATCCTTTGATTCTTACAGTTTTTAGTAACATCATTTTGGAGCTTTTGATTAATCATGTATTTCATGTTAATCTCCTTATAAATTGCATTTAATTTATGTATCACTATAGTGATACTTGCAAAACTTGGTACCTTGAGCAAGATTCAGTGAATGTTGTTTGTTTTGCTTCAACAATACCTTTCTTTGTTATGTTTCTTTTAATTCCCATCAGTGAAAGTAACTGCACTTTCAACGATACCAAGAACTGGCAATAGTGGTATGAAGTAACATCTTAGGAGAAACTTTGTGTTTTCAAACAGCTGTACGCACCAGATTTTATTTTTCAGTGTTTTGGCTGAATTTTTTGAAGTATATTTTATTGCATCTGCAAAAAACTGTCAATAAGGTGTAAAGGAACTGCAGCCAGTTCAAGATTCAAATTGTATACTGCATATAGCTCGCAGTGTCTTTAATGCATTTTTGAAGTGTATAATTATAAAGTAGATGTGACGGATGTGAGCTGAATGGTATGATTTGTTTAGTTTCCACTGAGCTGTCACCATTTATTTTTTAATTTTACTCTCCAAAATATAATAACGGTACTCTGGGTTATATATCATCCCAGTCCAGAAACGGTGTGATTCAAATGAAATATATAGTGCATGGCACCTTATTTTTAAAGTGAAAAATTGAGGCAGAGGATCGCTCTGTGTGTTTCACATAATTTCTTTGTGAGAAACAGGAAGCTGTTCCAATTTTTTTTAAAAAATGTTTTCTCCTCGGTTATCACTGTTAATGGATTTACTTTGAGGCTTCACTACATTTCTAGGAATGCACAGCGTGTAGACATATAATGACTTAATTTGGCATTTTATTTCAAAGGTAAAACTGGAATTTTCTTCCAGCATTTGGCAAATATGGAAATCAGCAGTATCTAAGCAACAATTAAAATGTACTTAAAGAAGCAAACATTTTCTCTATTCCTTCCTTGTAGCTGTTTTGTTGAAAACCACAAAGAATCAAATGAATACAGTACTCGCCACTCCATTGATAGATTTTACTCATTTAAGATTTCAGATCATGATTAAAATGAATTTGAATGTCCCAGATTGTGTTTTGATGAAGGGAGATAAACCTGTTGTTGTTTCATGAATATGATAATTTTTGATGCTTCATTAAAAATGCTTTGGCTTTTAGGGGAATGCTGACATAGTGATTCAGGTCTTGGTTTCAATCATTAAATATAGCCTGAAAATATAGAGAGTCATTAAGATCCCTAAACCAGGTGGATGTTCATTTGTTCATTTTGAATGAGAAGTGTTCAGGTGAAATTTCTGCTCTTCGTTGAAGAATGTCAGAGCTTGGGAGCAGAACACATTTCCATTTTGTCGCTCACTATTTGCTTCAAGAACTCCCATATCATGTACAATAGAACCAGTTGCAAAGTAAAGCTCTCTACTCCGCCCAAACAATACACCTTCATCTCAGCCTCAGAAGAGTACTCCACATTATGCAGGTGTGATCCAGTCACTCTTATAGTTTGGGTTCAATATAAAATTTATACAGACTGCAACTTGTTCGGCATTTGGTTTGTCTTGCGTTAAAATAACCTGAATGCAATGACATCCCAAACCAACAATGGCAAAATGAAGTCACTAGTACGAGCTTAAATCAGTGATCTGTGCGCAAATGGCTGCTGCATTTCACCCACAAAATACACAGTAAAGTCACTTGACAGTATATTCTATGAAGCACTTTGAGATGTCTCGAAGTCTTGATAAGGCTCTGTATCAAATTAATGCAAGGATTATTATTATAATAACTGACTCCTAACCAATTGAATTGTAGTGCATAAACAAATGAAAGCAATATGCACAGAACATAACAGGGAAGAGAATGAACCAAGACAATAAAGTATTGAACGCAAAGAGATCTCGACTACGCTTCTGGATTGCAGATATTAGAAGCCATACAAGAAGGAAAATCTGAGTGATGCCTTCTGCCGCTCAGCCACTAATTGCAAAAAACAGGCCTCCCCGACAAAGGAATCATCTACATTCTCCCTACACAAACACCAGAACCACACTGAAAAAGATCTCCAGAACAAAGTCTGACCACACATAATGTCACCCTGAATTCTTCCACTCATTACCTCCCCAATTTAAAGGGACTAATTAAATGTTTAATAACGCAGGGTCTTAAAAGGCCCTAAAATGTTTCAAACTGACAGTATAAATAAGTGCTATGCATTTCTGTAGAATTGTATTTAATTTGTGAATGGCTTGTGTACGTCACTTACACTGAGTTACAAGGTCAGTCACTCGTGAAATATTTTCCACATCTCCTTGGTGAATCCTTAGCCTTGTCCACGGTGCCAGCAGTCAGTTGAGAATATTTCAGCACCAATATTCAATTGTTTTGGTGCAAATGATAAATATTCCTGATCCTTACATTTGATATTGCACTTTCATGTTGGGAGGACGTCGCAAAGTGCTTCGCGGTATCTACTGTAAAGCGAAATGATTGTGTACTTGATAGGCCAATGGACCAGCCAATTTGTGCACAGCAATATAAAGCATTGTAAAATCATGTTATTTCACCCCCTGAGCATTCGTCTTACTTTTGAGGTGGGGAGGGGGGTGGGGTGGAGGGAGATGTAGGAAATTGTCACAATAACTATACCCGTGCTATGTAACTTAATAAATTACTGAGGCTCCGTGCCCCCACCACTCCCACCCTCACCCGACTCCACTGACTCCATCGGTGGCCGGGCTTTCAGCCTCTCTGACCCCACACTCTGGAACTCCATCCCACAATCCCTTTGCCTCGCTTCCTCCCTTGCCTCCTTCAAGGCCGTTCTCAAGACCCTCCTCTTCGATCGTGCCTTCAGGCGCCCTCACACCTCTCTGCCTTCCCTCACCTCTACCCCACCCTTCCCCCACGCTCAGGTCCCGACCCCTAACTGTCCAGCGCCTTGGGACGTGCTCCCGACATGAAAGGCGCTCTATAAATGTAATTTTGTTGTTGTTGAGGGTATTTTGAATATTTTTCTTCCCTCGATTTCCAATGTGTTCTTTC